TGGTATTTGATTCTTTGTCAAGTCGTGTTTCAAAGGTGCTTTTGATTCTGAAAAACGGGAACTATGTGATTCTCGCTTTTGTATGCATACCCGTTGTATTCATACGCGTGTTTTTCATAAATATGATATCCAGCGCCACTGTCAAATCGCACAAGTGACTGAGTGTTGGTAAAGATCATATGTGTCAGATAAAGTCCAGTTGCTTCCTGACATCTGTGATCTTCCTCTTTGAACTGTCCAATGTCATTCCCAGCCGATACTTCATCGCAAAAGTTCTCCGTGTCCTTACATAATTCAATAGCTGATGCAATGAATCAACTTTTCGAACACAGAAACAAATTATATTATCCAGCAGAAAATGGGTACCCGTTGGGATAAGTCATGTGACTGTAACTTTCTAGCGCCTCAGCTTGGGCAGCTTGGGTTATCAGGGGTAATAATAATCAGATTGTAGCGCTTTGAGAGTGCCCCTCCAAGGTGCGGAATTCAGCGCATTACAAATGCCCTTAATATGTATTTATTTATTATCTTAGTAACTATCTAGTTATTCAAATTACCCAGACAAATAAGTGAGTGGGTGAGTGAGTGAGTCAATGGTAGCTTACAGTTATAAAGACATAGTGCTGGCATATTTGCCTGGACCCGTGAAGATCGGGTTAGAATTGCTATTCAGTAACCCATGCTTGTCGTAAGAGGCGACTAATGGGATTGGGTGGTCAGGCTCGCTGACTTGGTTGACACATGTAATCGGTTCCCAATTGCGCAGATCAATACTCATGCTGTTGATGACTGGATTGTCTGGTCCAGGCTCGATTATTTAGAGACCGCCGCCATATAGCTGGAATATTACTGAGTGCGGCGTAAAACTAAACTCACTCACTCATTCTTAACATTAGGTATGGCTAAGAGAGTTTTGAGAATTGATTTAGTTGAGATATGTTTTAAATACGACATATTTACGTCAGCCGTCAGCCTTAGCGTTACGACAGCATCATGGTGTAGACAGACAGACAGGCAGACAATAATTTTAATACATTCTTACTTGTGTACATACAGTTGATACACAGGGGTTAAAAGTACACAACCAGTCACTTAGACCAAAAACTAGTAAATACATAGATAAATATAGAAATAGAAATATATGTGCATGTATGAACGCATATAATGCTGCTAAAAGGCATAAAAGTAAAACAGTATAAATAGGAATATAAGGCATGACGTAGGTCACCAATTGTGTATATATTTTCCATACAAGACACGCGAACCTTTCAAACAAGAAGAAGAATAACGGTCTTACAACTCACCTTTGCCTTCGTTAACGTAGTAAACAGTGCCGGTGATCGGAGATTGTGTGGACAGACTTCCCCCTTACCCTATACCTTGGCATGGGGGTAACAATGTCCAGCTGTCGAGTTGTGGAAGAATGACACACACGTGGTCTAATACAGGCATCGGGTCGCACATTCAAGTTTACTTCTTACGAAGAAGCTTCTATTCGGAAGATGCACATTTGTGAAACGTAACAAATAGAAACCTGTCATAACACCCGAGATGAGTAGGTTCATCCTGGTCAGCCTGATTTTAGTCAGTTTTCAATTCTTAAGTTTTCCAGTTTGGCTTATGACCATCCAGACGCGTTTGTACGAAACGTTCATGGAGATCGGAAATAAAAATGTGACGTTTCATTAGTGAGGTGTGTTAATCTTTACTAGGAACAGGAATGTGGAAAGTGGCATTTTGATGATTTACAAAGTTGTCATGTTCAGTTTTTCGTCTTATCAAAATGTACAAATATATATACTAAAATTCCAACATTCCAAACTCGCCGAAACTACGGTACTCACGTTCAAGGCGAAGTGTCATGAAATGCATTTCATGCAGTATTTTTATTCATGTCTTCAAAATATTTCACTTTTTGAAGCGTTTTACCATATTTTCGTATTTTTATAGATATTAGATTCGGTTGAGCATTGTCAAATGTCTTCTGAAAAATCATTTGTTTCACCTGTGGCAGTCCATGATAGGAATCACAGTGCTTTAGATATATTTATTACCGTCAGTAGCACGTACTCTTGACATTAGCCCAAGGAGGGCGCGGAGGTAGAGTTCTTTGCTCACAGTTCACAGCATCGCTATGTTTAAAAATTCAGGGCAATATATTTAGTTTGACAGCACAAACATGGGAATTAATATATTGGACTGTTTTACTAAAGTTTCATAACTGGACTACAGTATGATTTGTGTTCAGGTCACAGTGAGTCACTGAATCTCTTTGCTGTCATTCAATAAGTGCAGCAATTTTAAAAGTTGGTCTGTCAGCTGTTCATTAACTAAAGCTTGTAGTAATGTTTGGTTTATTAGTTGTGTGTTATTTTGCTATGTTTTCTCCTTCAGTGAGTTTTCAGCCTGTTTGTTGTATGCATATCAATATTCCAGTTACATCCGCAGTCCTATGGCCCAGGGCTCACTTGCACAGAACGATCTTAGCGCTACAATTATTGTAAATCCTTAAGATCGCGATCTTAGGCTTCGGCTGCAGTCGCCATCCACTTGCACAAGGCGGTTGTAGGCTAAGATCATTGTAAGTTACAATCGAAACTTACAATTTGTCCGGACCAGTTGTCAGGAGCTACGATCATTGTAGTCTGTGACAAAATGGGGTTCAAGTTTGTGTCTGTTTCACGCAAATAATCAGCTTTACGTTTGGAGATTGCTTTTATATTGCATAAAACTGTGTGATTCGCCTCGAGAATGCACCACCGATTTATCGTCAGAAACATCATTATTTGCGGTACTATCGAGTCGATATCATAAAGCACTATTCCCACCCGGTTCAGTGTTGGAATAAGTGTGAAACAGCATACCTTTTTAATAATCAAGGAAAGGATAGAAACGAAAGGTGTTTGCATGCGATTAGCAATGGTCATGACCTTTTCAATAACTCAAGGGGAGCTAATCTTAGTGTTTATGCAAGATGGGAGTGGTTTCCCTTGGCACGTTATGCCGTTGTCGTAGAGTCTGCCACGTCCAATGCATTTAATGTTGTGACATCGCAGATCTCCACATATATTTTTTTCCGGTCACATTCGTGTCTTTAAATTTGTCTTAGTTTATAATTAAAATAATCTACAATTAGATAACGTGCAAAATCAAGTAGTTCTCATTCTTAAATATAAAATTGAGTGCGGACGAAAGACGAGGGTTTTTAATCTATGCATTTTAGATGTAATACAAGTATTCATCAAACAGGAAAATACACTTGCTAATGCATTTGAAATTTGTGTAAAAGGAATTTCACAATAAGAAAAAATAATCATCAACGAAACAGGGTTAAATAATAACATACTGTGAATAAGTATTTAACAACACATACTACATGAACGAAATATTTTTTATTCATATTTCCCTGTCATGCATTTTCCACAACACTCCCCTAGTCATGTCACCTTTTCATATCTTTACAAAATTAATACTTGTGGGATATATTTGGGGTTTTACACCAAATCCCCCGAACAGATGCGTATTAAACAATGTCTCATTGGCAACCACTGGCAATGAAATACACAATGCCTTTTTAGAAAGTGGTCAAATGTAACATATGTTATAATTGGGATTACTCTTTCTCAGTAAAGTACAGATTCTAGTACTTTTCAAACCCACACCGTCAGAGTCAGGCACCTAATCGCCAGCACACACAAAAAAGTGAGGTGAGGTGAAATTGGATTTAACGTCGTGCTTGAGAATATTTCGCTCATAGGACGACGTGCATGCGCGTGTGTGTGTGTATGTGCGGCTGCTTGTACTAGCCCAGACTTAAGCTGGTTTTATAGTGCTAGCCCACTGAGATACCATGCCGCAGTGAAGCATGGATACCCCACTCAGACACATTATACTGGCTCCGAGCCGACCAGTCCTTGTTGAACCCATTAAGCCGAGCGCCAGGCAGGGACCAACAAGTACCATATTTTAACGTCTTTTGGTATGACGCGGTCGGGGATCGAACCCGGGCGGACGCTCTAACCACTACACCACGGAGGCGGTCTACACAAAAAAATAACCCGGATGGGACTCAACCCCCAAAAAGAACAAGAATTTGTACTTTACTGAGAAAGTGTAATCCCAAATATAACATATGTTACAACCACTGGCAAACCACACATTTAGGCGCTGTATCATAAGGACATTTTGTTTATTTGATGTTTTAATTTTCATAATTATTAAGTCACTAAATCTAGACCCAAATTTATTACTGTATTTTTTCGTATTTCAATATTTTCAAAAAATCATGGGTAGGTATTACTGGAGTTGCAATGTCATATTCTTTGTTCGTAAATCAAGACAGTAAGAATGTAGAAAAATGTGTGTTATCTTCACGTAATCGTTTCCTTCAAAGATTTGTGGGATTACTTTTCATGAAAATTCTGCAAGGTGCGATTGAGGGAGGTATGTATTGTGTGCAGTAACAAGATCCACTCTTTATTTGCGCAGCATGCTATGCGCATTTGCAGACAACTGTAGACAGGAGTCGAGTTCAAGACATTCCTACCTCCACCGTTGAAGAGTTCAATCTTAGTTAAGATCGCGATCTTAAATCCATGCCTTCTTACAATCTGCTTTGTGCAAGTGGATTAGGGCAATTGTATGGTGATTGTAAAGTTGATTGTAAGGCCCTAAGATTGATTGTAACTAAGATTGCTCTGTGCAGGTGGGCCCTGGTGTGTCAGTAGTTGACAATGTGGTCAGGGTGTTGGTTACCAAGACACAGCCAGATAGTACAGTCTGACCCCCCCAAAGACGGCTACATGTGTGGGTCCATCGAATGGTTCAGACATATGTAGTTGGCAATGTGGTCAGGGTGTCCTTTATTGACACAGCCAAAGAGTCCAGGTATATTACGGCACCAAGTGAACATAGGAATACAGTGCCTGCAGTTGAGTAGCGTGTGAAAGGGTACTGGAGGTTGTAAAACTCAATCGGGTAAATGGAATGGAACCCGGATGTCATTGTAGAAGAAGTTTATTCAGTATAGAAACCAGAGGCTCATGCACATTACATAACAAACAATAAATACATACAGCGTGGTAGTGGAGGTTCGAAAGCTGTACAGACAAAAGGTTACTATCATAATGAAAAATGTGCAGATATAGCTTTTTGGACATATTTTGAACATGTTAACAAGGTCAATGAATTTCAGAATTGAGTATATACATAAGCTTGTATTTTGTATGGAAAATGTTTCTCTCTCAGATCATAAAAAACAGGCTATTAAACATAAAATGACAGTCATTTTCGAATATTAATATGACAAAATGTACAAATTCTCAAATTTCTAACAATACCCTCTCTGCTATCATCTAACAATACCCTCTCTGCTATCAATATTTTACATTATCTGTATCACACCTGATCTTAAAGAATGTTAACAAACGCCGAAGATCCCTTTGGTATACTTTCAATAAATATGTTCCATGGCGAAAGTAGACTTAAGCTGCTTATTAGTCTAAATTCGAGTGACAACTGATTTTTGAAAAATACATCTTTGGATGTTGCAATCTTTAATTCTTTTCTAAAGTCACTGATAAACAAATAAAGTCAAGTAGTTTTTTTTAATATGCGAGGCCCATGTAATCCTAGCGTGTTGATCTAACCACTTTAAGAAAGTGTAACATTGTTTTGGGTACCTATTCTCAGGCTTGTATACAAGTTAACACTAATATCTGACGCAATTTGTAGAAGCTATACAATAAATATACCGAAGGAAACAAATAAGTGAACACCACTTCATGGCAGTGTTCACTTATTTGTTTTCAGATTTCCTCCCACAGTGCTATTTAAACCTGGTGATGAAAACCTGAAAATATGAGAGGAACACTTGAATTTTCCTGTGTTACTTTATTTGTTTCTCTCAGTAAATTTAAACGTCCACACTCACCTGAAACAGCTGCGCATGTCGATGATTTTCCAACTCCCGTTGCAAATATACAAAATTATGTGTGAAATTGTTCATTTTTCCCCACGTCTGCCAACCTAAAATCTCGTGAGCAATACAAACTTATAGGCTTTATTTTAGAATCAAACATTTTAAACAGAACTGTGGGAGAAATATTTTTCAATTCCAAATGGAAATGTTTACTACGAATGTGCTTTATTGCTTTCTGAATTAACGTTTGTACTGACTTCGACCATGATAATCTATTTGATAACATAATTCCTCCATAACTATAGTAGGTTACTTTAGCTTATCCATGGAAACATACAAACTCCCGTGCAAAGAACACCCAGCCTTGACCATCCCGCAGAAACAGATTCCGCTTGGTATAAATGGACCAACGACAATCAACGACACAACACGCTCGTGAAAAGGGCAAGCACTGGTAGTATTCGCCATTCGCACCATTTGCCCCCAAAAGTATTAGCATATACAACCCTACGCTGACAACTGCCTATAATTATAAAATGCAATATGTTGAAATACTTAAATGTCTAATTATGTCTCCTTGTATGTGTTCAAAGAAATGTCTAATTAGTAGTTCCCTGGGTTTTTGGTTGACGACTTTTGGTAGACGTCCTTCCTCCAACTGGGTACTATGATGTAATGTTCATGACAGTTGTTATGTCACGTGCCCGCTGTTCCCTTCTCTGTGTTGCCGTCTGCTTAAACGCCTGCTGCATCATCAGCTTCTTCCTCTCCTGGAGGTGCAACATTCTCTCCTCGATAGTGTCCTCACAAATGAACTGAAACAGCCACTCCATAAAAATCCTTGTCTGGTTTCGTCTTTGCTTTAGCCATTACAATGGCTGCTTTAAAGCTGCTTTACAAATAGTGAGTGAGTGAGTTTTGTTTTACGCAACACTCAGCAATATTCCAGCTATATGGCGGCGGCCTGTAAATAATCGAGTCTGGACCAGACAATTCAGTGATCAACAGCATTAGCATCGATCTACTCAACTGGGAACCGATGACATGTGTCAACCAAGCCAGCGAGCCTGACCACCCGATCCCGTTAGTCGTCTCTTAAGACAAGAATGGGTTACTGAAGATCAATATTCTAACCCGGATCTTGACGGGTGTTTTACAAATAACAAAAGCCAACCGTGCTGCAACTGTACGCATGTTTATGTTTTCAATGCATGCTTTAGTGAAATCAGAATTCATATATTTCTTGAATTCAAGGGAACTCTGAAGAGAATGATTATTTACTAAATCAATCCTATACGTCAAAACAAAAAGGGAGTTGTGTCTAACCTTTGTGATGATGACATCTCTGGTTTGGCCCAGGCGGTGGCATCTGTCGAAACACTGTTCTTCCACTGCCGGGTTCCATTGCTGTAGGTAAAGTAAGAGAGACGTTAAACACCTGGTTATACAATAACGCATTGTGCCGAACAATAAAACTGTTGTTTTGGATTCTTACCGGGTCCATGAGGAACACCCTGGATGCTGCAGTCAGGTTGAGGCCCACGCCTCCCGCACATATGGAGATGAGGAAGATGGTGGGAGATTCAGGCTGAGGATCCGAGAACTTTTTGATAGCTTCCTGGCGCTGAGAAATTGACATCGTGCCGTCTAGTCTCACAGCCTTGAAGTTGTGTTCCCTGAAGACACAAGTGATACAAGAATAAGTCTCCATGAATTATTATCGATGAAAAATGTCATGCTATATTCCAAATTGAGGGAGCCAACATATATTCCTTAAACGACTATTCATGTGTTAGACAGGTACTTCAGGGATTCAAGTTAGGATCCAGTGTCAAACCATACTTTAGTGGCTTTTCTATGAGCGTCAGAAAAGAGGTGAACTGCGAAGCCACAATACTCTTTACAGATGGGTCTTCACTTCTCAGCTTCACCAGGGCTGTGATCAGGGCGTCCACCTACGGACGACAGGACAAGGAAACATTTGTAATTGTGACTACTATCAACCACTACCACTCTTTTGATGTGAAGAAACAGGTATATTTATGGTAACCAATTGTGCTCCCCTCCTTGCAGATCTGTTTCTTTGAGTGATATATTGGAAATTCTCTGGTTGGTAAATTCATAACTATTTCATTCCGCCAAAACTTGTATATAACTCTCAGGTATATCAATGATCAGGTACTGTTCAATGGCCATCCAACAGCCAAAAATCTTCCACCGTGTTACCCGGCTTTTTTGATTTATATGCAGATGTAAGCATAAAGATTCGAATTGACAAGAAAACACCCAAGGGTGCGTGACAATCGGTATTACTTCAACTTTCTAAAAGTCAACTTCCAGACTTTCGAGCAACAAACCTTCGCCTCAACCCTTTGATATTAACAATTCACTTGAGCAGTCAAGCATGTATCAAGATTTAAGGCGCACATACGACTCTTGCTCAGAAATTGTTTGATTAAAGGTACAGCATTTACACCTTCAGTAGCAGGATTCAGTGCTATTCAGGGACACATTTCGTGTGTATATGGAAAGTTTTTGAATATATTTATATATATATTTACTTATGTTATAGAAATTATGTTCGGTAAATGATACAAAGAAATAATTCCATTTGATAATACATTATCTTGGAAAGAATGATGCACCACCTTGGAAATGAAAACAGTGATGAGAGAACTAGTAGAAGAGAACAACCATCCTTAATTCGCTCAATCAGTATTCCAAGGCCCAATAAGAAAAAAGTCATACGTATGTCTGTTCCTTGAACAATGTTAATTGTAAAGGTAATAGAACATAGACGTGAATTTTCATGAAACGGAAAAATGTCAACTTTGTACAGTTTGGGTAAGATTGTGTGAACACACATTTTCATACAGTCTACCTTTGTACTCGACTTCCAGTCACCATAGTGTTGAGGTTCCGGCTGTTCCGGAAGTTGGATTATCTGATCTGCAGCTGTAGGCACACGACACATAGGACATGTGGCATAACTCTGGAACAATACAGTCGAAATGTAGATGATCAGCTATGCCATCTTTTGATTTATTAGATATATTTTTTTATATGGCATTCTATTTAACACTCCAAGTACAACAAATCAGATCAATGAGCAAAACAATCCGGTCATGCATCGTATTTATAACTGTAACTTATGTAGGTATAACTGGTATTTTACATTGCATTTTACTTGATTTCGATTCATTTTGTATGTTAATACTCATTCTTTTGCTATATATTTTACACTATCTTGGAAAACCATATATGTATAAGGTTGTGTATAAGATATTCGTTCATCTACATAGTTTATGAAATACGGCTTATTTGTTGTTTGTTTCCCTCTCCTTGTTGGGAAGAGCTGACAAAGGACTGGTCTGTCATTGTTTTACATCGATGTTAAAAGTCTGAGATGCGTACCTTCTCTACATGTTCCATGTGTTTGATGTATTTGAGGATGCATTTGTGACAGAAGTAATGTGCACATGGTAGTATCACAGGAGTCTTCAGGACGTCGACACACACAGAGCACTCTTCCTCTGACTCGCTGATGACCTTCAGCCTGTTAACCAGAGTCTCACGCTTCTTTTCGAAGTCTTCCTCTTCGGAATCTGAAAACGATCACCATCCTATATTAAAAACAGCTGTATTTCGGAACAGCTACTTGGCAAATTTACAAAATCTGATATCCACGCGTGTATTTTAACCATCAGAATAAACAACTAGGAAACTTTGTTTACAATGATTGTTGGAAAAAGTATGTATGGTTTATACATCCAAATAAATATATATTTGGCATATCTCATGCATATTTTCATTGTTAAACATTTCATGATTGGATTTTTTACCCATGGTCTATATACAGACATATATACACTGGTATTCTAAAGCATTTGGTGGCATAACAACCATCTCGAATATTATATTTCTTTTGATAAAACATTAAGATGTATCCGGATCTGGAGGTAACAAGTGCAACGCCAGTTTTCGTAACAAAAGTATGATCTTCGTGCAAAATGATTCGCTAAAATGGAGCATATATCTATGCACATTATGGTTTACTGACCGAAGTAGATGTCATTCAGAGGTATTTATGTTTCTAACACCCTGGTCAGTCCATGCTTATGAGCAGAGGAGAGTAGCCTGATTAGGTGTATTTCTGACGTCATGAAAACATTCCACCATAAAAATTAAAATCTTCAGCAATGACAACACATGTTTACGTTTTTAAAAATATAGACAGACCCGATTCTTCGCTTGGTATCCAATCAGAATTGCGGGGCAGTAGGTAGCTATGACAACACATCTGTCGCAGTCGGAGGATGATCACCAACACCATAAAGTATTTCTTCAATTGAAAATAGCTGGAAGAGAGTATCAAGTCGTGGATTGCGACTCTGTCAGTTTGTACTCTAATAGAAGACTAAGTGGCATTAAGTTTGATACAGAAGTCCTCAGAAGTCCTCACAGAACTCAGACCAGTGTATGCATTATCCTATATATTTACGTTTGCTTGTTAAAGCCTCTCTTCTGCTTCTATGTATTGTAAAGTTGGATCACTTCTGATACTGTGAGGTCTGTCTACACTTTTTTTCTTGTGTAAACAGAGTTGTTTCCGGTGATGATGAATATCTCATTTTTATTATTGAAGTAAAGTCTTTATTCATGTAAACAATATCCTTGATAAACCCTTCTTGTCAATAAGAACAGGTTTCATGTTGGGACTGAGTTTTTACAATATCCGACTTACAATATCTGAGTTTTAGTTGTTTTAATAAGGTTGACTTTATACATATTAACCATATAAAATCAGGTGAAATACTTCTTTTGTCGAGAAAACGTTAATTCAGACAGGGCTAGATCTGAAGATCTCTACAGATATTACCTGTGTGTTGGCAGCGATGTATCATGGAATAACACTCAGTTCCACCTACTCTTTTATCTTGATCTTCCCAATCTCATCCATTGACTTGTACTTCCTGCTCTCCTCGTCTGACATCTTGATTCGCTCAATGTACACTTCTCTCTTGGGCAGCTTCACAAGGGGCTCTCCATCTACGAGGGTGTTCTTTGTCCTTCGCATAGCGATGTTACCCATCAGGTGTTGGACACGTCTGAAGAAGGACCTTATTATTATATAGCAGTACATCATCAACTGTGACTGTATTAATAGTTCATACCAGCAGTGGTGGCATCTCAAATGCTATCGGGTTACGAACGTCGACTATCATTGAACGGCAGGAACAGTAATAACACGATTTTCCAGTACCTACCTCAAGGCAATATTCAGACCACGTTGCAAGGGTTCCTCCAACAGGCAGTACCACCAGTTACTTTTATTGAGAGGTGTCACGTTAAGGAAACTGATGAGCGGCCACAGATCCAGCATCCTGTTCTGGATGGGTGTACCTGGTATACACAGATATGATATATACTACAAACAAACAAACATGGCAACACCCTAATATTTGATAGTTATATATACACTGAACCGTGGTGAGGTCATTTATACTCTAAGGTAAATGCAACTTTTTGTGTGCTTAATAGGCACTTTAAACGACATGTTGGAACATGCAGTGAAGCAACTGATTCAATATTCGTTGAGTTTGAGTGAAATGAAACATTGTTAAAAACAGCGAAAAACAAGGGTGCTGAAACACACTAGCATCATGTTTGATTCAAACGCCCAAACACAACAACCTAGTGCATGTGCAAGACAGACTTCTCATGCAGCTTGTGGCAACTGGGCACAGGCAGTTGTGAATCGGTTCCGAAGGGCTTGGACTATAACATATCGGTCATCTGCCCTTGATGCTTTTCTGGGTATTCCAGAGCGAGGTCTGTCCTTTACTCTACCAGCGGGCTGGAACCTGTCCCTCAGTCTGTGAATGACAGAGGGAGACACCTGAAGACGGAGAGCAACACTTCTTATGGATTCACCATCCTGTAACCATGCAAGGGTCCTGCTTCTGTTGCGGGCGCTTAACAGTTTGCGCTGTGGCATGGTGATAAAAATGTGAGGTCTTCAATGCTGTCTGAAGCTTTTTTTAAAGGAAAAGTTGCCACAAGCTGCATGGGACGTCTGTCTTCCACATGCACTAGGCTGTTGTGTTTGGGCGTTTAAATCAAACATGGTGCTGGTGTGTTTCAACATCCTTGTTTTTCTCTTTTTTTCACAATGTTTCATTTCACTCAAACTCAACGAATATTGAATCAATTGCTTCACTGCATGTTCCAACATGTCGTTTAAAGTGCCCATTAAGCACACAAAAATTGCATTTACCTTAGAGTATAAATGACCTCACTACGTTTCAGTTTATATATGACTATCAAATTTTAGGGTGTTCCCATATTTTTTGTTTGTAGTATACTTTTGTGTACAAGGTGCTGTTAGGTAGTTCAATGGTTAAAGCGTTCGCTCGTCACCCCAAAGAACCAGGTTCGAATACAGCTAAAATTAGCGTAAAACCACATTCACTGACTCACTTACTCGTATGTTCAACATCAACAGTGAAACAGCAAGCGTAGATGGTTTTCTGGCAAATGGAAGTAAGCCTTAAGCTGAATGAATTCAAACAATGATAAAGTTCTCACTGTGATAATATTCGAGAAAGTTATTGTGTTAAGCATTTCTACTGAGTGATTAATTTGAGGAATCTTCAGGTAAGCACAACCAACCAAATATATAATGATTTAATTACGCTACGTTTAAATTATTATACTGTGAATAATGCCATGCTGTGGTTGTCAAAAATCTGTGAAAAACTGAAATTCAGCGTTACCTGAGAGAACCCACTTGCGTTGTGCTCTGAGGGCAATCGCCGCTTTCGTTTGCTGAGCCTTTGGGTTTCTTATTTTGTGTCCTTCATCCAACACAATGCGAAGCCAGTTTATCCTAAACAGTGGGGCTTCCTTCTGATTCAGGTAGTTCTGAAAGTAACCATGACTCATCGTCCCTGAGCAAGTCAATGAACTACACAACTGTGACTTTCTTTTCTATAGTTCCTTCACATAAATATGTTTCCGTCAATATGTTGGCACAAAACTCTGCAAGCGCAGAATATCGGAGCCATAATGTGTTTTAAAGGCACAATGTCACACATGTTCGACAATGTTTTGGCCTAAATGATATATATTGGGGCACACGCACTTACTTTAGCTTCCTATTGATGCAATAAAAGACCCTGAAAGGTGGTTGAAGTATTGTAAAATTATTGTCCTCCTAAAAAGGGTACGTAAGTCCCAAAACATTCGAAGTAAATTTAAACCTGCTACTCTTTTTAATCATAGTATATATGTTATTTTAATTCATGGCTAGATTATCTAAAATTGCTAATAGCTGAAGGGATGATGTAAATGCAGCTAGGGTCCATGCAGGGAGCAAATGTACTGTAAGTCCCCATGGTTCCTAGTATGGTGATCTACCTTCAGTTGTTGGCAATATATAGTCCATTTTTATATTGTACCGTTAAACTTAGAAATAGCGTTGTATGGTTATATGCTAGTTTTAAGTATAAATCTGTGATAGACTAGTTATTTTACTGTCCTTTGCAGACAGGTAAGTATATAAGTTTGTTTTTATTTCATGTATACATTTATAAATATATATGGCTGAAGTACTGCCGTTGTGACTTTTAATTTTAACTCACTCACTGTGCAGGGAAATGGCTACAATTTATCAAAATGATATGTATACCCACCTTGAATTCACTCCGCACAACTCCATATGTTGTAATTACGACATCCTTCCTCTCAATAAAACTGAGTTCTTTACAACGCTGACTGCCATGGTAACGATAGACGTCAATGTGGACGTTAGGATGAATATGCTCCACAAACTGATCCTTTGAAATATAAAGCAGTAATCACGTGTCTATATGTTGCCATTCAGAACCATGGACACAAAAGGTTTCTTCTTTGAGTGACATTTTTAGAAGTTGGTTAGTTAGATCAGAGACCATATAATAGATATGGTCTCTGGTTAGATAAGGACAAACGAATAAAGAAGTTGTTCATCCATAAAGTTTGTCCATTCGTGACCAACTCGTGTTATTCCGGAACAAACCGAATGGCGACTCGTGCCCCTCTGGAAGGATTTCATATTGGCGTATGAACATCAGAACTACTTCAAACAAGAACGATAACTCTATTCCTGTTTGATTCCAATGGTACTTAATATCACCGAAGCACTCGTATATGGTATTGCTGTTTTGTTTTTGTTTTTTATTCATTCCTTTTTATGAATTAATATTAAGCCTCTTTGATACAACTAAAAGATGAGAAAGATATTTGTTTAACACTTATTCAAATGTAAATATTACCAGCGGGTCATCTTATTATATTTCCAAATGTTTACGTATTTCCAAATGTTTATTTCTAAATAGGGTTTAAGAATCACAAATGGGATTTGTTTGTTTTTTGAATAAGCATTTTTTCACCTACAAGTAATCCCAAAGCAGATACTCAAAAATGACTTTAAAATATTTCTCAAACTGAACATTCGTGTAACCTTGCTGCCATACACTTAAAATATATACGCTAAAAATATTATGGATGACCCCCAAAAGGTCAGACTAAAATACTTTCAGAGATGCGAAACTTAAGCTCAATGTTAAAGATTAAATGTGATTAGTTATATACAGTGTAATATTATTGCTTTGAAACACGTAGCGATTTATAATTTTATTTCCTAAAAATGTTGGACGCGCCCGTTCAATATCCAAAACAAACCCACAAGATCGTCAGAAATACACACATTTGATCCCATGTAAGCCGTTATGTAAACAAACTCACGTATGTGTGTTTGAATTTCTTATCGTCCATGGCATTAATTATCCTCATTGAAAACTTCACATGAGGCAACACAATTCTGTTAGCTACGTTCTTTGTACTTTCAATAATACTATATATATTTTTCATGATTTTTTAAACAATGACCTTATGGCATCAAACGATTTAAGTACTCGGGATTACTTTTATCAAAGCAGAGCAATCATTACGCTCGTTCTGATTTGTTTGTCGCATTATCGCACAATACAAGCATCGAGAGCGTGACGAGTCTTCTTGGAGGTTACGGAAAGGGACTAGTGGTGACGAATGAAGCATTTTCCACATGTTTTTCTAAGGGAAAGATACAGATTTTAAGAGTAGAGGGATAAATGTCATATTTGTCGTGGTTCACCTGCCAGGTACTGAGGACACACAGAGGACAAATGATCAATGTACCACGTGGCTGATCATTTTCACTGAGACTCCTCCCCATTTCATCACAATGATTGGCTGTCATGAAATCTGAAACCAGAAGAAATCCATTATCTTTGATGAGCAAGCGAGCACTGAACCTGTTACCTATAATCTTTACACGTTGAAGTTTACAGATGCTTGAGACACTCACCCTAAGAAAATCTTTCCCTCATCGAAATCAGACATATATTCCTCTCTATACCTGTACCTTGGGACCTTACCTGATGCATCCATATCGTCCTCCATTCTCTCAACACTCTCACAGCATCCCCGTCGTGTGTCTACATTCGATGAGACGCCAACAATAATTACGTCAGGGTCTTCTGAACCACAGTCATTACTAGACGACACTGCATTGTGCTCAGAACACAATCCTGATTTGGGAAGGAGAGTATCGAGGACCACTTTACTATAGTTTCTATAGTTTCATTTGAATAAAAATCATTATCAGTAAATGAACGTCTTCAATATTTATGAACAAAGACTTTACCAAAAAGAGACAAAGTACAAAGTGTGTATGCTATCGAAGCATTTCCCATTGCTTTCGTAGGCTGTCCTGAGTAAGTAACAGTTGGTATATTTACGGTCATCATTGAATATGGTATTGGTGAAACATGCCAGGTCCAATTTTGCCTACCACTTGAAATGTTATTATAGAAACTTTACACTTTTACTTTGACCCTCCATCCCACAACTCCTCCTCATAGAGATCAGGCAGATCAGGCAGTTCTTCAGATACATGTTGTATATTTCTCCACGCATGCTCCTTGGGATCTTACCTGGTGTATCCACATCCTCGGCATCCATTCTCTCAAAACTCTCACAGCGTCCCCGACCTTTGTCTGCATTCGATGAGACGCCAACAATCATTACGTCAGGGTCTTCTGAAACACATTCATTACTGGAAGTGAGGTGGAATTGGGTTTAACGTCGTCCTTGAGAATATTTCGCTCATATGACGACGTGCATGCGTGTGTATGTGTATGTGCGGCTGCTTGTACTAGCCCAGACTTAAGCTGGTTTTATAGTGCTAGCCCACTGAGATACCATGCCGCATGGAAGCATGAATACCCCACTCAGACACATTATACTGACTCCGAGCCGACCAGTCTTTGTTGTACCCATTAATGCCGAGCGCCAGGCAGGGACCAACAAGTACCATATATTAACGTCTTTTGGTATGACGCGGTCGGGGATCGAACCCGCGACCTTCCGCTCTCCGGGCGGACGCTCTAACCACTACACCACGGAGGCGGTTTTACTGGAAGTGTACACAGAACAAAATGCTGATTTTGAAGGGAGAATGTCAAATACTTCTCTTTGTTTTGCTAGTTCAATCACGAAACAAATGTTTGGAGAGGATAAAAGTCAACAGATAAAACATATTTCAATATTTTATGTGTAATTAATTTTTGAGATAACGACATTAATATGAGAAAAGCAAGATTTATGGATGTCAACTTCTGTATTGTGAATAACACAACGTTTCGGAGTGTATGCTTGCTCCTTCCTCACCTGTGTGTGTGTGTGTGTGTGTGTGTGTGTGTGTGTGTGTGTGTGTTGCAGATTTCTTCATGCAGATAGGCTCAAGGTGCAACAGAGACAGATTAAAAGAGTCCCCGACATTTATACAGCAATATGTACACGTCCAAATAGAGTTCCTAATAATACATTGAAAACAGGTATGTTTTGAGTCCTGACTTGAATGTGGCAATACTATCAGAAACTTTCAGATTGTATGGGTGTGAATTCCACAAGGGTGGGTCTGCACATGAAAAAGTCCGGTTTCTAAAAGCTTTAAGCCTGACGTTTGGCACAAACAGAAGCTCTTGATTAGATGATCGAAGGCAGCGTTTGTTCGAGTAAGGAGTAAGCAGGTCAGATAGATATGGGGGAGCAGGACCGTGACGGGCTATGTAGGTCAAGCAGAGGAAACACGCTAGACCCAACATTATTACTGGTTTGTTTGTTGTTTAACGCCCCGCGCTCAGCAATATTCCAGCTATCTGGACCAGACAATTCAGTGATAAACATCATGAGCATCGATCTACGCAACTGGGATACGAGTGTCAACCAAGTCAGCGAGCCTGACCACCTGATACCTTTAGTCGCCGCTTAAGACAAGCATGAGTTGTTGAAGACTAAGTCTAACCCGGATCTTCATGGGTCAGACCAACTCTACCTATAACTTAAATGCATCAATTCAATGAGGTGTAACTAAAGAAACATCACAGATATTTACCAGAACAGATTCTGGAGACACTCACCCTCGGCAAATCCTTCATTATACAATGTCTCGTCATAAAGATCAGGCAGTTCATCATCATCATCATCATCATCATCATCATCATCATCATCATCATCATCGTCGTCGTCGTCGTCGTCGTCGTCATATGGAAATTTGTATTTTTCTTTACGCATGCCCTTTGGGGTCGTACCTGATGTATCAAAATCGTCATCCATCCATCCTGTCGGAAAGTGATAAGTAATAAAATAACCGATGAAAGATATTTCAATATTACATGTGTTGTAACCAGTTGTTAAGATAACGACTATAACATATTGCATATATAAATGTGACACACGTAAAACCATTAGAAGAAACTGACAATCACACATAGGGAAAAAGACTTGGCCCAAACGGCATAAAGAGGAAAATGTGTTCACCATGCTATCAAAATGTACATATTAATACGTATTGATACTTAGGTCCACGTGTGCGCCCGTCACCTAGCAACAAAATCTATTTTCGTGAAGCCACTGTATGTCCTGAAGATAAAATTGAATGTTAACGTTGAAAATATAGGGATGCACTACCTGCTTTTATCATATTGGTGGACTAAATCGCCATTCAAATGTTTTAAATTTTAAATGTGTAATATCACAGAAGAGCCGACGGTTTCTGATTGCAATAATGCCATTTCCATTTGGGTATAACTTTGAGTTAATTTTGAATATTCGCTCTACGCATATCAATTTAAATATTTAATAACTTTATTTTCTGCAAATATTGTTGGGAGATATTCACATACACAATTACAGGCAACAATCAAACATTCAACTTTAATTTGCTACAAAAAGGAATGAAATACCATTTGAATTAATTGAGTAATAAGAATTCAAACTATATACATGGTACAATACACAAAAATTGCGATAATTGTAGATTTCTGTTCATGTATCACCCAACTTGACATGAACTGGCATTAATTTCGGCATCCTAGACGAGACTGGTTTAACCTTCCGATGTCCCTTGAAGGTACTGTTTAGTACCACAACCAGAGCATGCAGTGCTATCAACGCTGTGTTTGTGACAAATAGATAGCGCAAGTACCCCGACATCAATCTACCTTTTGTAACACTGACGCAGATTATTCTAATATTCTCCAACTTGAGTGCATAATTGAGATGCTCATCCATACCAGATCCTCCATAACACAACTATTTGTCATCGAGATTAGGCAGTTTATTGTCATAATATATACAGTTATAGAAACATATATTCATCTGTATACATACCCCGTAGGTTCCTACCCGATGCACCAACATCCTTCATTCTACCAACACTCTCACTGTGTTCCCGACGTTGGTCTGCATCTGATAAAACGCTAACAATCTCAACATTGGCACTGTCAGGCTTCCCAAAACGTAACTTTGGAAGACACTGTGTCGTCTTTGTCAGGTGCTTCTGATCCATCTTGTTGAGGAGCTGCAACATGAACTGCAATATGACTTGAACATATTATCACCGTTCTTGGTGACCGTAACCTTAGTTTCTCTCCCAGATCCCGATTCTGATGCTTCACGTCCACAGAAACCTTCTAAAACAGCCTTTACACAATTACAAAGGCATTACTGAATGCACCTCCAAAAATGGAATTATTTTCAGAGATGATTTAACAAAACACTAAGGCAACAATAAGTGAACCTGTTTTAAATATGAGTTTGTTAGACTAACAGCAACAGTAAAACAAGAATTGAAAATCAGGAATATTAAACAGATCTTGCTCATTCCTGTTCACATAATACTATATACACATTGTTTTAGTGATAAAACCAAAAACAGTAAAAGCTCAAGAAAAGAATCCCTGTTTTAAGTAGACATCATACTGCAAATTTAGCAAGAGGATTATTCCTAAAGATTTTTCTTGTCGGGAAATTACAATAAAGGTAGTAAACACAATTTTTCCAATAACTTTACCAATATCTTTTTTGCTTTTGAATTGTCAGAAGATTGTTATACTCAAGGACACCAATATAATTAATGGTTAAAAAATACGATTTGATGGAGACTATCAAACCTTTTCTCTTCTGTCTCGTTGTGTGTCAGGCAAAGGAACAGCCAGTGGTCGATTGTCCACAAAGTTTGTCAGTACCAGAGCAATGATCTCCAGTGTCTTTCCCAGGCCCATATCATCGGCCAGAATACCTGGTGTGAACACGTTTTCAACGTATCAGAGAGACTATTTCCCGTTTTTCAGCATAAGTAATTTTAACATTTTGGTGAGTATCAAGCAGTGATTTTTATTTCTTAATTGTAAGCTAGAGGTCCGTAGTACAAGATACAACGGTTATAATTGGTGAGTGGTACAAGCACACTTCCGCTTTGACAGTGCATGGTGTAGCAACAGTCTGAAGAAGCTGTACATTTTCGGATAACATTCGTGTACAGAATCTGTAAAATGTGGAACAGGACGTATACTTAGATGGGATATAATTGCTCCTTAGATATCCATACTGTGGACAGATGAGAAGAACGTGACATTCATCTTCAATAATATCACTGCCACACATTTTGCAGGATTGGTTCTCAGCAGTGTGCGAAATAGCCACTGGCCCGCTGGTCCGTGGCTAGTTAAAATCCAGTCGAGGCAGTAAATCTCCACAGTCACTGACCCGACTGGCTAGTGAATTTTCATGGGGTCATTTGTTTGGTTTTGGTTTTTTTTGTGAGTGAGTGATTGAATTTAGCTTTTTGTAATATTTTGCTTAGTTTCTACATTCAAACTTCGGGCTAGTGAGTTCTTGTGTGGGCTAGTAACTTTCAAGCATAGCTAGCCCAACTGGCTTGCAAAGTTTGGAAACTATTTTGCACACTGGTTCTCAGTATCATGACATGACTAAAATATGTATGGTGGTGATGTATCTTGTATTTAGTGTGCCCAACCGGCGGATGCTATACCTTGAACGTTGTATTATTTGTATAGGGCAACTGAGGCAGCAATTTCTGTTATTTGCAGTCTTACCGCCTCGAACACTTGGTGGCTTTTCATAAGTACTATGATTCAGTAGTCTGTTGTAATAATGGCCACTGTCTGTTATCTCCCAGAATGGTGGCAGTTGATATTTGTTTTCCCGGCCTATCATCCAGTGAAGGGCTTGCTTCTGGTGCTGGTACAGGGGCGTCCTCACAGCCTGGAAGGGTCGGAAAGGACGTCTGCATCCCAATATCTCATTCATGACGCACATGTAACAGTCATCTGTATATACACCTGTGAGTGGCCATTGGTGATTGATGTTGTTTTTGACCTGAGTGACGTCACCGCGACACCGATAGTCACACCAGAAACAACGCGTGGTCATGACTGGACTGATGTATCATTTTGTTACCGACAAATAGTCATGACTGGGATGATGCATCATTTTTGCTCACGATAAATGATCGTGAATCGACTGATGCATCGTTTTTGCTGACGTTAAACGTTTATAATTGGACTGATGCATCATTCTAATGTCAGCATGTTAATATTCTTGCTGACAATCGAAACTCTGGTGTTAATATCCACATAACTACCATTCTAAAACCTACCTCTGTCGGTTCTTGTTCTGTACTTTTGTCCCCTTCGTTAAGTGTTCCAAACAGCTGGTCTACAGCATTGCTAACCTTGATAAAGGATACATGTACAAGTTAGATTGTACTCAGTCTGGGCTGTAAGTTGTCGACCTTTGACAATAGAAGATGTTATTTAATACCATCCTACCTCAACTGGCGTGAACCTCTGCCGATGACTGTCAACGTTTGTGTTGTGGTTGGCCGCAACAGGTCTTGCTGCAAAGTGTGGAACAGCAGCTTGTATATCCTCGTTATTGAAGACATGGTTGCCCACACCTATTGGTACTCTCTGTCCCTCGGCCACGTTGAAGGCTGCCGTGGCTTCATTTAAGATTCTTGTGCACCTGTCTCTGTACCAAGTAGGTCCGTACAATGTAAGCTGGATAGGCACGGTTTTACTGTTTTCATGGAGGAGAAGTGTGTCTCTGAAGAAGAAGCACTGTCAAAAACAAATTGTTCCTAAGCTTTTCACAATGCTTTGTAGGCGACAATATAGTATGGAAAGGACGTCATGCAGTGTTTACGTGTATACTGAGGGATACAAATGTTAAGCAACGTTGACACGTTAACCAGGTCGTCAGTGAAGGTACCACTCCTGAAGATGCGGGTTTGCATTGGTCTTCAGCTACCCATGCAGGAGGCGACTAACGAGCCAAACCCGCTGACTTGGCTGAAGCATGTCATGGTATCCCAGCTGAGAAGGGCTATGCTCATGATGCTGAGACCGACTCATATATAAACAGTCGTTAGTGAAGGTACCACTCCTAAAGATGAGGGTTAGCATTGGTCTTCAGCTACCCACGCAGGAGGCGACTAACGGGCCAAACCCGCTGACTTGGCTGAAGCATGTCATCGTATCCCAACTGAGAAGAGCTATGCTCATGATGCTGAGACCGACTCATATATAAACAGATCGCCGTCATATAGCTGACGTAATTCTGAGTGCGGCAAATACTGATGTTACTCATCATCAAAGATGCTATAAACTTTCATGATCTTACGCTTCGACTCTTGCTACACGATCAGCTTTGATTCTCATCATGGGGACATCAAGAGGTGGATTGAGCATACCCACGCATCCTACTACTGTTGAAGATTGTTACTCTTTCCCTTCTCCATAGAACGTTCTCATACACCAGTGATACCGACTCATGGTTGTTGATCTGAGGATAGAGAACATAGACAGTGAAACTAACTCTTGAGAAACTAGTGTTTTACCACTTGGCATGAAAACAAAATTGTTTTTTGTTTATTCAGATTGACCTTGCACTGGTTTATGTTGCCAAGGAAGGTGTTGCTGTGCACTTCTCAAGACCAAACTTAGTTGCTGTATTCTGTATAATTGGTGGTTCATCAGTGACCTGTTTCGAACTACGTCAGAGGGCGAAGATGGAAGCGTTACTCATGTCCAGGCAACCAAAACTCTTTACAAAGCGGGCAATGTTACTTACATGCGGGCACCTTAATGCTTTACAAAGCAAGCAATGATACTCATATCAGGGCACCTTAAAGGATTTTTAAAAAGGTTAAACACTATGCATTTTTATTACATAATGCCATTCAAACATGAATATATACCACATCTGCACCATCCATTTACGAAAAAAAGTCGTAACAATTATAAATATGCACCAAAACTAAAACCACTTTAGCCCCACCCACTCGTATGCATATTTATATTTTTAGCGGTCTGCCGTCTGTGGGTGTGAGGTCATACCCGAAAGTCCGCTCAGTGTATTGACATGTCAGTAGTGTATACGCCATCGAGTTGAAAGTGACACGAAGCGCAATATATTGAATGAAGCGTTGTTGTGTATTGGAAACTGACAACTGTACTTCAAGTTTTGATGATTATCCAACTGCGTAAACAACATGGGTGTTCATTTCCTGAGAAATTCTATTTGACAAGAGGAAGGTCATAGATTGTTTATTGTCGTCGTGCGGATTTTGTGAACCCCTCCACGCACGGTCATTTATCTGTTCGTTACACTTTTCGAAGAGGTGCTATGAAAGAGACCTAACCTCTGGCGAAATATGGATACGAATAGGCAAAACTTCAACTTTATAAGGATGCTATATATCGGGCATTCCTTCCGACATTCCAAACAAATACAGAGGCCGAAATGTCAACTTGGGACTGAGACCGAGAGAGTTGCATTCCGGGCGCGACGTTTGCTGCAGGTGAGTTTTAAGATGTAGTTGTTTTGGAGCAACATAAACACTCCAGTAGCTAGCTATATAAAGCAATAGTTGATGAAAAAGTACGTCATAATTTGCGCTGATGTCTTATTTTCGATCAGAGATATATTTTCACAGCCACTGTTATTGTTATTCAGTGGGGCCAAGTCATCTATTTCCCGAGACGGGTGTGTTGTGGTGTGAGTGTGTGCGGAGGGATTGGGATGGGGGTGGGCATGGACAAATGAGAACTTGCAACATATGGGTGCGGTGGTGAGTGAGAGCACATAGAATTATTAAAACATAACTAAAAATGAGTCATATCAGATAATTATCCACCAGGGACTGGTCCCGTATCATGTTAAAATGGTATGTGAATTGTGTGTGTGTGCGTGTGCGTGTGTATTTTAAAATGTTGACTCTCACTCTTTCTCACTTATGTCCTGGCACCTTAAACGCTTGACAAAGAAGGCTGTGTTACTTATGTGCTGGCACCTTAAACACTTTACAAAGCGGGCTGTGTTACTTATGTGCTTGCACCTTAAACGCTTTACAAAGCGGGCTGTGTTACTTATATGCTGGCACCTTAAACGCTTTACAAAGAGGGCTGTGTTACTTATGTGCTGGCATATTAAACACTTTACAAAAAGGGCTGTGTTACTTATGTGCTGGCACCTTAAACGCTTTACAAAGCGGGCTGTGTTACTTATGTGCTGGCACCTTAAACGTTTTACAAAAAGGGCTGTGTTACTTATGTGCTGGCACCTTAAACACTTTACAAAGCGGGCTGTGTTACTTATGTGCTGGCACCTTAAACGCTTTACAACACGGGCTGTGTTACTCATATCAGGGCACCTCAAACGCATTACGAAGAGTACAGCCTTACCCATGTCAGGGCACCTTAAACACTTCACGTAGATGACAGTGTAACTTACCCAAGGGCAACTTGATGATTTTTCAAAGGTTCCAGTGAGAGTTCCTAACAGTACTTCAGCATCTGGTACATGGGCTTCCTGTGTGTCATCATCATCCCTCGCCAGTTGCCTCGTCCAGGCAAGGTCATTCGGAGAGATGTATGCTGGCAAGTTGTCTGTATTCATGTCAAAGGCAGTTCAACCTGTTAAATCATTTTATTCTCATTAAACCGACGAGGTTTCAAAAGCTGAATTAGATATTCGGAAACCGACGTTGATGTAGAATTACTTTGGTGAGTGAGTGAGGTTAGCTTTATGCCGTACTCAGCAATATTCCAACTATATGGCGGCGGTCTGCAAATAATCGAGTCTGGACCAGACAATCCAGTGATCAACAGCATGAGCATCGATCTGCGCAACTGAGAACCGATGACATGTGTCAACCAAGTCAGCGGTCAGAATTACTTTAAGGATGTACACATGATATTATGTAGCGTACGGCGCTGGAGTTTGTCGAGTAGCGTTACGTCCCTTGGATCCAGAATCGCTTTTCTCGGTGTGCCCCGCCGTTATATTGCTGGAATATTGCTAAAAGCGGCATAAAACCCCACTCATTCACTTTAGCAGTTTTAATAATGTTTTCCTTCACTGAAAGTAACAATAGACGTTATTATGATAACGTATACATCACAAAACAATATTTTTTAACATTCTAAGAAAACAATCTAACCTAGCGTGGTATTTTTTGTAGTAATATACTGGACAAAATATGTTAGGGATATTCGTATTTTATCAGTGTGTCAATGAATAAATAGATCATTATTCATAATTTCAAAATTTACATGTGTCCCTAACTATTTTTGCCCAGTATATATGTTTGCATATATGTTTGTTTGTTCTACTGCAGGTCGCCATTGTGCAGTCTTGCACCAGCGTAGCGAATCAGCCATGTTTATCTAGGTCAGCGTAGCGGGACTTCCAATATCACCATGTGCAGGATAAACTGAAGTACAGACTCACTCTCTTTCACCGATATGTTGATATTAAATTATGGTCACTTCACTGACAAAGGAAGACCTCTGTTCTCCCTCCGTCTGCGTAATATCTACACGACTCACCTGTGGTATGAGCAACGGGACGTTGATCAGGTAGACATACACCCGTACACCCGTCTGCTGTCATTTCCTGGAAGGTAACTGACATCTATGTTTAGAAATGACGTGGCAGATTAGTTAAAGGCATAAAGGCATAAAAACGTGATATTTGTTGAATGAGGGATACACGTATTGATACTCGCCTTTGATCAAGCACGTTTTAGCACATCTAATCTCAGTGTATGGTGCGTCCGAATGGTAAACATAATCATACAAACATGATAATGATATGAACATCAGTGGATATATGGGGTCACAAATCACAGGTGTTTCCAAGTCATTATATATACTGAACTGCAAAAGAAACGCAAGTCTGGCTTTTTGTCAAGTTTGTGAATAGAAGACAACCAAAATCATTTCCCATCATTTATTCTATAGACAACACTGTCAATTTAACAGCTGAAAGTTGCTGTTGACATTGAATTGCAATAAGTTCAAATTGATCACAGTCCGTCAAATGGAGATACCCCCTGAACGCGAAAAGTGACAGTCTCTTTAGTCGCGTGTATGGCCACCTTGATGTTGCCCACAGGCCGTGCAACGTGGCCTCATTGAGTTCATTAGAGTCTGAAAGAATGCCTGAGCCAAATGGTTCCGCTCAAACACCAATCTCTATTCCAATTGTGCAAGTGTGAAGTGGCTGTCTACCTGCACCAATCTTCCGTCGAATTTCGTCCCAGAATGTTCAATGGGAGCTATATACAGGGGAAAGAGACGGCCATGGAAAAACGTTAATGTTGTTTTGAGCCAGATAATCCATCGACAAACCTGCTGTGGGAGGGCTGCAAACGTCGCTGGCGTTGTTGGCGTGTCAAAACTGGCCCCACATATGGCCTTCGGCAGTGGATTCCAGCAGCCCGAAGACGACGCCTAATCGTATCGCTGGACACTACTCCCCTTGACCCATGAACTAAGGCTGCTGTTACTGTTGGTGCTTGAGTTTCTGTTCCTTAGATGTGACCCGGATGAACCGATCTTGCGCATGAGATGTCACTCGTTGCCGTCCGGTACGGGGACGATCAGCAGCAACCCCGTTTTGCTGATGAGTGAGTGAGTGAGTTTAGTTTTACGCCGCACTCAGCAATATCCCAGCTATATGGCGGCGGTCTGTAAATAATCGAGTCTGGACCAGACAATCTAGTGATCAACAGCATGAGCATCGATCTGCGCAATTGGGAACCGATGACATGTGTCAACCAAGTCAGCGAAACTGACCACCCGATCCCGTTAGTCGCCTCTTACGACAAGCATAGTCGCCTTTTATGGCAAGCACATGGGTTGCTGAAGACCTATTCTACCCCGGATCTTCACGGGTCTTTTTGCTGATGATGTTGAGCAAGTCGTGTAATGGTGGTAAGATGACAGCCCAATTGTCTAGCTACAGCGGTTGCAGAGCTACATCCGTGCAACTTTCCAATGGCCATTCCTCTCTGCTCAGTCGTTAGTCTAGGCATCGTTTGTGTGGCGTGTACGTCTCCTAGTGTCAATACTGAACTGTTTTTTGACACAAACCTTTATAAAGGATACCTCAGAGTGAAATGCATGCTTTTCATCCAGAACCGTCGGTGCACGTGCTTAAATTATGGTTTTGTTGCACTGTTGGTGTGTTTGTGCGAATGGTTCGTATGGACGTCAATTGCATGAATCATATCATCTTGGATCATTACGTCACTTTACCATGAACGTTCCATAAACATGAACGCTTACCTTCATGAGATTTCATTTTTTCGAAACTTGCGTTTCTTTTGCTGTTCAGTATAGTTAACTTTCTGTTTCTCTTTTCGGGAACAGACCCGTGAAGATCCGGGCTAGAACTGATCTTCAGTAACATATGCTTGTCGTAAGAGGCGACTAACGGGATCGGGTGGTCAGGCTCGCTGACTTAGTATACACGTGTCATTGGTTCCAATTGCATAGATCGATGCTCATGCTGTAGATCAGTAGATTGTCTGGTCCAGACTCAATTATTTGCAGACTGCCACCAAATAGCTGGAATATTGCTGAGTGTGGCGTATAACTAAACTCACTCACTCAATCCTGTTTTACAGCTGATTAAGGACACGCTCTGTGTGTATTCATTTCTGTTCAGTATTTCCCATCGTCAACTCAATAAAGACTCCAATCTGACATAATCCTTCTGTGTGTTACCTTAGATCTTCTGCAATGTGTACCTAACAGGCTTCTCTGCTCTATTCTAAAACCACTACTTTGTATCTGTATATATGCCTCCCTACACTACCCGGCCGGCCGTACATGACTTGCTTGATAACGATGTTAGAATATAAACCGAGTCGACGTTCCTCATCGTAACGTCGTGCACCCACATAGGGATGGCGGGGTAGCTTAGTGGTAAAAACCTTCGCTCGTCAGGCCAAAGACCCGGGTTCTATTCCCCCATCGTGATATTGCTGGAATATTGCTAAAAAGCAGAGTAAAATTAAATTCACCTACATGTTATCCTTACTTCAGCAAAATGTTTAAAAAACCGGTATTGGATATCTTTCAACATTTCCGATTGACTAGCTGTGTGTGTTGTAACTACATTGTCCGTTAGTCGGGGACTTTTGAATGACTGTAGCACTTGTTCATAGAAAAGATTCGTTTCGTGATGGAACGTTGTTCATAATATCAATCATTGGATTGATATTTCTGTTATTTACGAGCCGTCGTCATACTGCTGGAATAGTTCTGGGTCTACCACAAACGAAAATAATCATGCTTCGTCCATGTTGGCTCGGTGCTTAAAATATCTGAAGTCAAAGGTGTCACAGGTCTCAACGTTGTTCGACGTCGACATCTCATTGTCGGATACAACTTGTCATTAACAATGGCAATCTGACAGATCTGCGATACGTGGATGAGATCTTTGGGCCTCGTGTGCAGCCGTTTATTAAAGGACAGAGACGTAACTTCACGCTTCAGCAAGATAATGCCCGTCCACATGTCGCTCGTGTTGTGACAGATTTCCTGAGACAGCAGAATATTCCGGTACTCCCTTGGCCAGCTGTTTCTCCTGACCTGTGCCCCATTGAGTTTGAGATGAAATGGAGCGTCGTTTACGTCAAGTCCAGAATCAGCCACTGATGTTAGCTGAATTGGGACAAGCGTTGGTTCAGACATGAACCAACATTCCCCAAGCTTACTTCCATCGCTTAGTGTCGTCTATGCGTCGTCGTTGTCAAGCCTGCACCAACGCCAATGTTGGACACACACGATACTGAATTTGTGAACTGACTTTTGACACCACATCTCTTCAAGGGCCAGTCACGATGCCTAGTGTCAGGTCATACAGATTTCGATATTCTCCTGTCATCAGTTAATCAGCGATTAAGGAAAACACCACAAATTATGTTTTTATTTTTTTGCATTAATAAATGGCATAATATCAAATTATGCACAGCTACTTTATTCCAGTAGTATATAATTCTTTCATCCGATTACAACCCCTGTGGCCAGCACAAATCTGCACTTCACAAACAGTTTATATGTCTATGATCACATTTTTTAAATTGATTTTCACCTTACCCTATTTTGGTCATTTTTAAGATCAGTTGAATTCTTTTAAGATATTTGTTTTTTAAATCTACTAAAATGAAGATCGGGCATGTGAAATACTTGGATATTCGATCATGGAATGAAAACACCTCCTTGCCCTGGAGTGGGGTTTATCACGACCGGGCTTCGGGGAGTGTTGTGCCTGGGCCAAGATCGATAACTTACAAGCTATATCCTATTTCTTTGTGTCTGACAAGGACAGCAGTCCACCCATTCAAGACTGCGAGGATAGCAGAATGAGAAGTTTACCGACACTAAGTGTTTCATGACACTGATAGAATAGTTGTTTCATGTAAATGTTGAGTGTTGCGACAGAAATGGGAGCGCTTCCGCGAAGTAGATATGCTTTTACATGGAAATAACCTGGTCATTTTGAAAACTGATACTAGGTTAATGTAATGAGAGAAGACAATTAATATTACTTTGAACTATAAACAATTAAACACTAAATGGAATCATCATCATCATCATCATCATCGTCATCATCTGTAGTATCATCAGATGGACATGACATATTTTTCACGTACATAAGTTAGCAGCGGGTTCGTTATTCACTCTATGCCCATCAGATCTATAAAAAGTAAGACAGTCTATATTCAAAGAACTGTTTAGGTATTCAGCACTTCTGAATAACGAAACACTAACCAGCAACAGGTTCGTTATTCAATTAACGAATAACGTGCTTGCAGTGGGTTGGTTATTCCCTCTATGCCCTTCAGACCTATCTAATATAGGATAGTCTATATCCCAGCAACCGTTAGTAATTCAGCCCTTCTGAATAACGAAGAACTAACCATCACCTGGTTCGTTATTCGGTACATGTCCATCAATTCTATCAAACATAAGATTTGTTTGTTATTCGTTTTTCAAATAATGAATAACATGCTGGCAGCGGGTTCGTTATTCACTCTATGCCAATCAATTCTATCAAATATAAGATAACAAATATAACATACCATACTTCAATCAGGTTCGTGTTTTGTAATTTGCCAAAAGCTGTATATCAAGGAACTGTAGTAATTCTGTCAAATACACCAAGATCTAGACAGCAGCCTAGTCTTTACAAGTGTATCATTGTCCAACACCTAATTAGTTATTCGGTTCCTTTGAACAACAAAACCTTGCCAGCACTGCTTCTTCATTCAGTTTATGTCCAACAATTTGACAAATGTAAAAATGTAAGGAAGTCTAAGATGTTTTCAAGCATTGGTTTTGTTACTATGTGTCCAGAATTGGCGTTATAGGACACTCGATATTTCTATTATATTCAAAAACAAACTTGCTCAATATTGAAGGAAGACGGTGGAAGAGGTGTCTTTATATCAACTCGTATAGCTGTATCAGACGCTGCTTCATAGCTTCAAAAGAAAACTAATATTGCTGAAAGAGACAGGAATGAAACAATCTGAACAAAACCAAAATTATTTTTAGAAATGGTGTTCCTCTCCGTTCCTACGAGAAGTGGTTTTTAAATGGTGAACAAATAGAAG